ACCGTCACCCCCAACACTCGCACTCACGCCGCTCCTTGCCTCGTAGACCTTGACGGGCTCTGTGCGAGTGTTGGTTATGACAGCGGTGTCCCCGCTTTTGCGAGGGTTGGGCAGTGTCTGTAGTCGCCCCGTTGCTTAACCCGTTGTCCACTGTATCAGCTTCCAAGACCAATCACAGTACAAGGCTCTTTCGCTGCATCACTTACTACATACTGCTTTGTCCCGGACAACGGGTTGCGAACTTCTGAGCTCTGTTACTGTACGGTTTGTGGGTGTTTGCTGTTGGTCAGTGCGGTCCCCTGGGGTTAGGAAGCACGGGGCAGGGTTCAAGATAGCTAGGGGAACGCCATATACATGAGGGTCCCGCACTGTGTGGTGTTGGTGCTGTGATGCAGAAGCAGGGGCCTGGGGGTAGGAACCATTAAGGGGCAGGTACCAGCACACATAGAGGGAACGTCACACACTGAGGCCCCCGCTTGCTGCATTGTGGTGTGGGTCGTTGTGGGTGTTCTGTGTCCTCTACTCACTGTGTCCCCTACTCTGCTGCACGCGTTGGGTCATGACTCATGCTGCTCCACATCTGTGTCCCTCATACGAGCGCTCTCTCTCTCTCTCTCTCTCTCTCTTTTTCTCTTTCTTTCGCTAGGGCCGTGGTGGGGAGTTGCCTCTCGCTCTCTCTCTCGTTCTCTCGCTCTGACGATCACAGGCCTACAGCACTCTCTAATGTGCGAAGAAACGGGGTCTAGCGGTAATTCCTGCTCCCCAGCCAGTGTCTACAACGGCTTTACATGTTAGCGTGATTGTTTAACAAACTGCAGCTGAAGGCCATGTTCAAGCCCTGTCGTGCTCGTTTCTTGGCCAAGGCCACTGATACACCATTGTTTGCCTTTGTTGACCTTCGACAAAAAGTTCAGGGAGGCCCCAGCACGCAGAGCGCCCAAGCTGGCATCAGAGCTGGCGCCCGAGGGTAGGCTAGTCTACCAAAGGCGATTCATGAACATCACACAGCAGAAGACAAAACGTCCCTCTCTCTGCTCCGTCTTTCCCTCCTGTCGAGCATGCATTTCAAGTCGGTGTACCCTTGAAGACTCTCGCCGACCAGGTCTTCGCTTCAAGGTGTCACCTGAGCAGCACCTCCGATCCTTTACCGCCACTACATCACTTTGCTGCAACTGGCTGGGAGCAATCCGCTGCCTCATGACAGCTTGGAATTCTGGGCACCACACGGTCTGAGATGTCTTCAAAAAGGGCCGTGAGCAACTGCAAGGCGAGCCGGCAAAGCTTGCAAGCAAGCTGAAAACATTGTCCATGTCTTTCTAACTGCAGGCGTGCACACACAGATAGCATATTTACTTCTCTGTCGAACCGCAGTAGTTCCCCGGATCGTCCCAATCTTCGGGGAGCATGAATGCAACCCTCGTGCTGAAAGCATCACAGCAAGCAGCTAGCCATCTTTTGCGTTTCATGCTCATGACGCCGGTGTTGTTCGTTGTGGTTCTCTGCATGCCCTGGATGTAGGCGTCCAGCGTTCCCGGCCTCAGGGTAGGGTCTAGGGGAGGGAGTGGAGGGCGAGCGCGGAATCTGCGTGATGCGCCCTCGAAATTGGACGGCTATAAATATGTGATTTTTTCGTAGCTGGCTGCTTTCAATTTGAAGGCTTCCGTCGTGGCGACGCTTGAAAAATGCGAACAACCGAATGCCAACAGTCACAGACATGTTGCGATCCTGGTGCATGTTGTCTTGTCAACAGGCTACTAAAACCTCAAACCCTTTCCAATCGGAACCTACTCACATTCCACACATAGCTCGAGAACCTGTTAGACGGCTTATCTGTGCCGCTTCTTCAGTTCGCAGCGTGAATGTCGCCGGACTGAGCCTCAAATGCGCCGTCTGCGCTGTATATGCGCCGTCGCCATCTGCGCAAAAAATACAATATACAGCAGCTTTCGCAAGTTTCGCTCATGGGCGCAATCTCTTGTTTCGCGCTTGCGAGCTTCCACTACAACACTACGCGACAAAATTAGTAGATCGTCGTTGGAACAGAAGGAGGTTCTTCGGCAGAGTTTCCAAATGGGATTTAGTTTGTTTGCGTAGTTGCCAACCAAAGCTTTTTCGGTGTCGATTTTGCTGGCAAGCACAGGACGTGAGCAGCATTCGTAGGACGTGCCCAGTCGAAGTGCTTAGATAGGGGGGAACGGGCACGATGATATTGTTTTTTTTTTGGATTTGCACCGCGCCTATCCAAAATCAACGAAAAGCGGAAAAGTGCGGCCTTGCTATGATTGCATTGAACAAGGGCAGACAGGAAGGGTAAAACGGCACAGGCAGAGACAACCATAGACCCTAAAATTAAAACCCGTTGTGCTGATAGTAGTCGTCGTCGTAGTAGTAGGAGTAGGAGTAGGACTAGGAGTAAAAGTAGGACGTGGAGGAGCAGCAGCTTTCGTGTTCGGGGGGGAGGGGACGACTCGGGTCCTGCCGATTAGCCGGGTTGTCGAAAACCAGATGAGGCCCATGCAATTCGCTGCCCAAAGACGGCGGGGCTTGACGAAGGGCTCGCTGCAAGTGATGGTCGTCGGACTCTTGTTTAAAGAACCTGGGAGCGCCTGAAAAGCATCGAGAGTGCGAGGACCCTAAACAACCCGTACAACTGAGAGGTGGCCAGCTTAAGCTGCTCCTCCATCCACCCAAAGGCATCGACGCCCTGCATGTAAAGCCGCGAAGCGCCCACCCTCCCGCTAGTGGCGGCGTCGCTGTGTCACACCACATCGAGCAATGCATAGAGGGAATTGCGAACCGTGGCTAGTCCACAGTCAACAAAAGGCAGCATGTAGTATAATTTAGTAAAGTCTAGTCTTACTGTTGCAGGCTGAGGTGCAGCAGAGGTTGTAATAGAAGTACGGTGTCTAGCTTGTAGTACCTACCGGGCAGTGGACGATGTGTCGTTCTCTGTGCGAGGTGTAGCAGTGTCAAAGCAACAGGGCAAAGTACATCATCGTAAAGTTGAAAATGTCAACTAAAATAGGCAAGGGCTCACACAGGAGTGACACCGCTTGTTTTATATCCCATAGTTTTGTTGCTGGTCTTGTTTTACAGGTCTTGCTATGTTTTTGTTCATTCTTGTTTTGTCTTTGTCGTTGTTGGTGACTGTGGTTGATGAAGCAACCGCCTCAGTAGACAAGTGATGACCAAGTATCAAAAAGCGAAAAGATCGCGCGGGGAATCATAGAACCAAGCGGTCGCAGACCAGAGAAAAGGCATCGGAGGACAAGGGGACGACAGGAACCCAACCTGGTGGAGACCCGGGCCTCTGAAAAACTGGGACCCGTGGGCAGCGGTTTCACACAAGAAACACTTCCGGTGAAGCCATCGGTGGACGGAGAGAGGGCAATATTAAACATGTGACAGCGGGTCACCGGGATGCTGTCGAGGGTTTGCTGACACCAACAACGGACTTAACGAAAATGCCACACCTGCTGGTAGAAGGCATTCTGCGGCTCGTACTCCAGTGCCTCAGAATACAGTCAGCTGCCAGAAGCACTGGCCGAATTTGTTAGCTGGCTAATGAGGCCCAAACTGACATTAGGGCCTCCAGTGCCTCGTGCTCGCGACCCATGCCTGCAAGAAAAAGCCATGTAGAGACGGCATGCATGTGCCAGCGTCCATCGTCGCCTTGGAGCGCAACAGACCTCGATGGCTCACACGACTCTTGTACTTCTTGCGTCGCTGCAACCCGTCGCGACCTAGTGAAGCACGGTCTGCACTCTCAGGACTTCGTCTTGAGAGCCCGGCTGCCAGTAGTAACCTGCACATTGTAACGCCAAATCTTGACTTTCGAGAAGAAGCTCCGACGTCGCACAGACGGCTCACTGATTGGCTACAAACGGCTGCTTCTTTAGTTCCAGCCGGGTGACCATCAGCAGATGTTGGTTGAAGACCCGTTAGCTCATCTGCCTCAGACCAGGGGCAAAACCTGGAAGTCTCGCGCCATGGTTTTTCACCAATGCCAGAATCTTGAAAGCAATCTGGCTTAAGTTCAACAGTGACGCTCGCTGCAGCTGGGATCGCAGCATCAGACAGAGCTTCCACGTACTGCTGCAGCTGCGCATGGGCCTGGTGCAGCGAACGTCCGCGGAATGGTGCTCAAGGGAACCGGATTGCTGGGGCAGACACGCTTGCCCTCAAACACAACAACCCAGACCTCAAAATAGGTCGCTTGTTTGCAACATGTAACTAAAACGGTGCATATACCTGAAGGCAAGGAAGCGAAAACACAACAAAGGTCCACACAGTGTAGTTACAGTCTCATCCGGCACGAAAACTTTGTCGCTGCCGCCCTGGAGCACAGGATTGTAAAGTCTGGCTGGCTATGCTGGCCCCCACAGCTAGCTGGGGAGCATGCTGGTCGCCAGACTGCTGCTGGATCCTAGAGTATAAAAGTACAGATGCGTATAAGATTTACTTTTCAGCAGATGTAAGAGGAACCACATGTTGTGTGTATTGGTTTTGTTTGTTGTGCTTTCGGTGGCCGGATCATGCAGAAACCGCAGAGTCACTGGGGATGCGGCTTCTTTCCAAGCTGGGGCTGTTTTTTGTGTGATTTCTTGGCCTGGGCTTGACCTATCATACCCGAACTTGCCACATCCAACTGGGTGAAACTTTGCCGAGCCGGAGTTGTGGCGCCTACATCTATGTCCGCCCCTCCTGTCGCGATTCCGGTTCCCTGCTTTGGCCATCCCGGTTCAACATACATATATATATATATACACCCTCAACACGTCCCCTCATTAGGTGTTTTCGGTTCATCATATATCTTAAGCACGCCCCCCCCCATTTGGCGACTCCTTTTCATCATATACCTTAAACACGCCCCTGGCTTGCTCATTGCGGTTCATCATATATCCTGAAGCACGGCCCCTCATGTGGCGATTCTGGTTCATCACATCTTAAACACGCCACCTCATGTGGCGACCCGGGCTCAGCATAAATTTTAAAACACGCTCCCTCATATATCTTAAGCACGCCCCCTCATTTGGCGATTCCGGTTTATCACATATCTTAAGCACGCCCCCTCATTTGGCGATTCCGGCTTATCACATATCTTAAGCACGCCCCCTCATTTGGCGATTCCGTCATCAGAATTATATCTTAAACACGTCCCTCATTTGGCGATTCCGGTTCGTCATATGCCTTAGACACGATTGGGGGGGCGGTTCCGGTTCATCATATATCTTCAACACGCCCCTCACTTGTGCATCGCCGTTCATCGTATACCGTATATCTTAAAACACACCTCCTCATGTGGCGACTCCGGTTCATCATACCGCCACCTCATGTGCCGATCCCGGCTCAGCATGTAGCTTTAAACACGCTCCCTCATATACTTTAAGTATGCCCCCTCATTTGGCGATTCTGCTTCATCATATACATCTTACGGTCTTCTTAAACACGATTTCGGTTCATCGTATATCTTATAAATATGCCTCCTCATTTGGCGATTCTCGTTCGTCATACATCTTAAACACGCCCCCTCATAGATTCCGGTTCATCAGGCATCTTAAACACGTGACGATTCCGGTGCATGATATATCTTAAAACCGACCCCGTCATTTGCCGATTCCGGTTAATCATGTATCTTAAACACGCCCCCTCACTTGGCGATTCTGGTTCATCATGTATCTAAAAACACGCCCCCTCATGCGGCGACTCCGGCTCAGCATGTATTTCAACACACCTTCCCTCATATATCTTAAGCACGCCCCCTCATTTGGCGATTCCGGTTCATCACATATCTTAAACACGCCCCCTCACTCGGCCATTCCGGGCATCATATATCTCAGACACGGCCCCCTCATTTGGTGATTCCGGTTCCCCTCATTTGGCGATTCCGGTTCATCATATATCTTACACATGCCGCTAACTTTGCGATTGCGGCTCATCATATTTCTTAAGCTCTCAAACATGCCCCCTCATGTGGCAAGTCTGGGTCATCATATACCTTAAGCACGCCGCCTCATGTGGCGATTTCGGGCGGAGGCGTTTTTGGGTAAACGTTTGGCCAGCCCCTTTTACAAAAGGTTTGGCTGCAGGGTCGGTTAGCCACAACCGATTTCCGATGTTCGGCCTGAAGCTGTACTCCACAAGGCTGTGTTTTGCATGAAGCTATTAGGTAATTCTGGTTCCCCTTAACAAGAAGCCCTTGGGAGGCTTGCGATGGCGATGCCGCTTCATCATATGTATCTTAAACACGCCCCCTCATTTGGAGATTCCGGCTCATCATATATCTTAAACAAGGCCCTCACTTGCGCATTGCGGTTCATCATATACCTGAAAACACGCCCCCTCATGTGGCGACAGGCCACCTCATTTGGCGATTCCGGTTCAGCACATATCTGAAGACACGTTCCCTAATATATCTGAAGCACGTCCGCTCATTTGGCGATTCCGGTTCATGATATGTCTTACACACGCCCTGTCATGCGGTTACCATATCTCTTAAACATGCCGCATCATTTGCTCATTCCGGTTGATCGTATATCTTCAACATGCCCCCTCATTTCCCAATTCCGGTTCATCATATATCTTAATCATGCCCCCCTCAGTTGGCGATTCCGGTTCATCGTATATCTTAACCACGTCCCCTTAGTTTTCGATTCCGGTTCATCATATATCTTAAACATGCCCCCTCATGTCGCGATTCCGGTTCGTCATGTATGAAATGCCAAAAATCGAACAACACTTCATGGAGTTTAAAGATCAATTTTGAAACGACAAAAACCAACAAGAAAACAAACACAAAAACAGCAAGCAACACAAAGCCTCAAAGCATCATTAAACAACTCAACACACCACAAAAAAACATTCAAACCATAGTCAAAGCGAAAAAGCAGAAAGCAACACACAAAAACAATAAAAACAACATGTCTAACATAGATCTTTTTTTGTGAGGCAGCGTTCTTTTTTTTCATTAGGTGATGGCGGCCAATGACGTGTCAAACCCTCCCCCTCACCAGGCGATTGCGGTTAGTCACAGTTCTTAAAACCCAGACCCTCGGCGACGGTTGATCGCATGTCTTGAACCCGCCCACATCCTTGAGCGATCTTGCACCGTGGCGGTTGACCAAACTTGATTCTAAACCCGCCCATATGCTGCTTCAACTTACACCCTTCCAAGCCGATGGCGGGTGATCCCCTCGGCGAAGGCGATTGGCGCTTGGCGGCTGAGCACATGTCTGAGCACATGTCTAAGCCCGCCTCTCTTTAGACCCGTCCCCTCTTTACACGGTGGCGCTTGATCACACCCTCACTAGGCGATGGCGCTTGGCCACATTTCTTAGGCCCGCCCGTCTTTGCCCATAGCGTTTGATCCCGTGTCTCAAACCACCCCGTCATCAGGCGATGGCGGTTGATCACGTTTCTTGAAGAGGTGTTCGCGTAGACGAGCGGGTATGCAGTTGGGATGGGGGTGGTCAAGTATGCGGGTACGTACCGTGGCAAGTATGAACACATGTACGGGGTGGGGGGGGGGGGGGGGGGGNNGCGGGCACGGGTACTTTCCGTCCCACCTTCCTCTTTGCATGGTAATGTCCCCCGAAAAGCTAAGTGCAACTCTTTTGTTTCGTCCTGATTATATGTTGAGCCTCTTCTTGAATGCCCTTGAACCCCACATTGCATTCCGGACAGCTTCCACATGACATTGTCAATTACAATGCGCAAGTCACGGGCTTGGCATGGACCATCTGGATATTGATGCGGTTTCTCTCTTGATCGCATGAGATTCTTGAAATTCTCTCTAATGCTCTGCTGACCTGAGACAAAAAAACATGTATGATGTATATCATAGACATGATGTCTGTAAACTGATATGAGCATGCATCATACATACTGTATTAAGACATGAATACTACAGCAGCAGATGCGAGATACGCAGCATGCATAGAAGAAGAGTGTATTCAGAGAGATTGCGAATTTAAAAAAGAGATAAGCACACAGTACGAACAGGGAAGTGTATAAATATACTACAAAGGTCGTATAAGCCTTATGTACCATGGACCTTTCTGTATAATGTGAGTACGGCTTGGGTTTCAGTTTCCCTTTTGCAGCATCTCCTTGTCTTTGGCTCGTCAGCTTGAAAGCAGCCGAAGACACACAATGACAAACATGGTCAACAGGAACAGGCGGAAACAAATAATCCCTTTAAGCACGTGTGACACGATGTAGTTATCCACCTTCCCCTCCACAGTTCCTGAATTGGCTTTGCATCATTTCGACTTGTTCAGAAACATACACATACATGAACCCCTGTCTACGACAAGTGCATCAACATTACGGTAGACAGCAGCAGATTATGCACATATAACTATTTATGTTGATCATGTTTTCGGGAGAGGTCCAGGAAAATGACTAAGGAGTTCCCCCTGTTTGACAGCCCATGCTGCACTCTGTCCCGTCCTTCTGGTGCGTTTCTCCCCTCGAGGAGATTTTGTCCTGACTGGTTCGCTCTTTCCGCCCTCCCGTTCTCTGCCCGCTTCCATTCACCTTGGTGGATTGTGTTTTCCAATTGCTGCTACATACACAAGTGGCAGACTCAAATAGCGCATAGAGGTCCTACGCACATAATCCTTATGCGCCTCACGCTGTGCATTTCTATTTGAACTGGCCTGTAGATACGGCGAATGTACTTGCAACTGCTTTTTTCTACTTCGACTTACATAAGCTATCTTACTATCATGTCACATCATATCAATAATATGTCATATCATTTCGTACCACAACATACCATAACAAAATATCTTGAATGTAGTATTTCATGAGGTGCCCAAAACGCAGGGACCAAACTGGCAACTGACTGATTGCCTGACTTACTGACTGGCCGGGAGCATGAGTCGACTGCCTGACCGACCGAGGGACGAACGGACTGACTTAGTGTCAGACTGACTGACTGACTGACTGACCGGCGGGAGCACATGACCGACCTTCCGACTGCGTGCCTGCCTGCGTGACGGGCTACTGACTGACTCGTTGCCTCACTGTTTGAGAATCCAATCCAAGGGGCTCACAGCAAAACCCCCGAAAATGCACAAAATGACACAGAAAAAGATATCCCAAAAGAAGCCCCACCCGATTTAAGATCCTCCCTGCTTTTCAGCTGCCGAGGCGCGGGAGCAAGCGACGAGCTGCTTGCTCTTGAAGCTGCACCTTAGCTCTGGTCACGACGTGTCCGAAAGCGCTCCGAATAACTCCGAGCCAGATGCAGGGCTCAGCCAACCTAGGGACACAGGGGTGTCAAACGACATATGCAATCTGACAATTGCAAAAGCAACGGGTGCCCGACACAGGGCAAAGACACAGCCTTTGCGTGGCGCAGGATGCAAGTCACTTGCGCAAGCAGCAGGACTAAGGCTGGAGGGAAAGCCTTTTCAAGTCCGGACTCCCAGCGGGCACATCCCCATGCAATCAAACGCCATGGCCAAGCACTTCCAAGATGGTTTGATTCTGATGCACGGGCAACGGGACGCAACGGGCAACCATCCCCTGAGACGCGGGCTCGCCCCACAACAAATCAAGGCCCTCGGTACAAAATTCCAGGGCCTGGCAAGAGATTACAAAAACCATGGCGCAAGTGGTAGGCTGTGTGATGAGGTGCATTTCAATCATTTCACACTTGTTCACCAAGGTGGCCTGACGTAGTCTTTCGCTGTCTGCTGCCAAGCGGGCGCATGTCAGCAACTGTTCAGGGCTTCTCCTGGCAGAGCACATGGCCTGGCATCTGGCCAGCAAAGCTGCAAAGGTCGCCGACATTCTCGGCCCGAAATTCTGAGGCTAGAGCTCTGCATCGTCCACCTGCACTGATCCGTTGCAGCTCGAACTTGCAGAGCCTCGTTCACCAGCTTGCCACATGCCGTGTGAATCTGCGACTGTTGACATGAAGTTACAAGCTCCGAGCCACCATGCATGACATTTGGCTCGAAAGGCCTTATGCACAGTTGAATCATGCTGCAGCAGCATCATGAACGATGTCATAAATTCGCAAAGAGACATGGGCATCCACGAAGCGGTTTGTTTGACTGTGCCAGGCATTGCATTCAATGCAAGGCAGTCTGTGCTGTGACTCGATCACGGCACAAGGCAGGGTACAGTACTCCTGGTCATTAAATTACACAGATACTGCAAGGTATCAAGAAACAAGTATTGCACAGCCAGCGCTATGATGACATCGACATGAATCGAAAAGAGGCAGCAGGACTGGGCGATGTCAATGCTGTTGAACATTACTGCAAGTGCAAACAGGGTTGTGTCATCGGGCTGTGCCAGCACTGCAGTGACATTTGACTGCGGGATAAAACAGGCAGCATGCAAAGTTGACGCGTTTATGCGTGAGAAGTCTGTCGTGCAAACCAGGCTGTCCAAACTGGCCCGGGATAAACATGCCCCTATGCCAAATGCCCCATTTCACAGCACTCTAGGTTGGAACCACTTGCTTTGCAGCATTCACCACCCAACTGCTCTTGGCCTCTCAAGTGAGCTTGGCATGCTGGATGAGCTGGCCGTCTTGGCCAAGATTATGCCAGCAGGACGGCAGGCAACAAGAATTTTCTCGAAGCAGCAAAACGTGCAACAGCAGCACATTGTCAAGGAGAGAAGATCCTTTGGACCAATTGCGGAAAATGCATCCTGAAACTGTCCACGAGCAAGCATTTCACTGGCACCGAGGTGTTGGATAGATCTTCAGGTTTTCAGGTCTGATCTTGGCAATCTGGTTGACACCGAAGTTGTCCTGAACACAGGCTGCCGGTGGTACAGTCACTTCAAAAAAGGTATCATGACATGGCATGGACCACAGTTCGAGTTCCGTCCGTCAGGGGCAACTGCACATTGTAGCGGTTGGTCTCTGCATCATAGGAATCGACGATGACAGTCAGGCCGTTGAAGCTCGGACACGTCATCAGACCATCGATCATGACGGCAGCACCTGCTGGCATGACCTGCGGCACCCTGGCAAAGGACACTTGTGGCGTACACACGGGCGCCGTGCTAAGCACCGGAGATGCAGACGGGCCCGAGTCCGCTGGAGGAGTTGCGGCATTCTGCGGCTGTGTGCTCAGAAAGCCCGGCGTCACGGGAGCAAGTGGCATGCTTCTTGCTGAGCTCTGGTCTAGCATCCATGGATTGGAACGGACCAGATTTTCATCAAGCAGCCCAACCCCCTCGACGTGGAAAAAGGAGCCGGAGACCTTCATCTGTGCTTCTGTCTGCACGTTTGCAAGACGGCCGCGCTCCTCTCGAGGCTTGTCCTCAGCCTTAATCTGGCTACTCGATCGCCCACGGCCCGTGGGAGCGTCTTCTTGCGCATCAGCATAATCCACTGTCACAGCCGAAAACAGGGTCTCTTCATCCCGTCCTGCAGCTTCTTCGTCAGCACTGCCTAGCACGCGGCATTTCACATGAAGCACCGAATCCTGTCCAGTCAAGAAGAACATGCTTGCTCGCTCCTGCCTCGGATGCTGTGACGAACTTCAATCTCTCTGGCTAGGCGTTCTGCCTTCTTGCGTGCATGGGCCGGCACTTTGGCGACATCGATGACGGTGGAATACTGGGAGAGGTCTTCCTGAAAGCACAGGCAGCAGAAACGTTCGAGCACAGCTCAGGACAAGACAGGCATGGCAGGAGCGGGCGTGACAAAGGCCTTGAAGGTTGACACGTAACCGAAAAGCTCGGCGTTTGCTTTGAACTGGTCCCAGTGACCTCAACAACGGTTGGCGAGTCAACAGCGGCAGCAAAAGCAACATAACAGAAGCGGCCATGCTTGCCGAGGAACTCTCGCTTTTATGAGTTGCAGCAAGCTCCTGGAACGCAGAGAACCACCAAAATCAGCTCGACATGACTTGACTGAGGAAAAATGGCTATGCGGTTTTTATTTGCGCCCATGCTCCTCCAAGGCGCCATCGCAATTACTAGGTGCAGCCCAACGCTGAAGCTCTCTTTCCTGCTCACCGTGCCATTTGAACTTGCGCAGCGCTCCCTGCATGCACGTATGCGGGCATATGCGCACATACGAGAAAGAGAGACAGAGAGAGAGAGAGAGAGAAAGTGTGAGTATGTGTGTGTGTGTGTGTCTATCCGTGTGTGCGAGTGTGTGAGTTTTCTTAGCACATGGGAAAAGAGGGTCACTCTTACATTTGTTTTAACGGCGCAGGGGGACACTGCATGTCACTGGGACTGTGTTCAAGCAAGCTACGAGTGACATGAGAAGAGAGGACTGATCATCCTCTTGTACCCGCAAAGCAACCCGCTGAGGTGCCAAGATATGTGGCGGCACTTCGTCAGTGGATCTGCTGGACGAGTGTCCACTTTGTGGCGAAGAGCAAGCGGATGTTGCGCATAGTCTCGATGTCTGTCCAGGAACTGAGCGCCTCTTCAACTCGTGCCTAGGCAGCGTGATGTCGAGGCAGCTTGATGTTCAGATCTGAGATCTTCTTTGCCGTCTTGTTCCATACCAGCCTGGGGCCGGCATTAGATTTGGTCCGGGCCAAGTATGTGATTGCAGCTGTTCGGTTGGCACTGCGCCCAGTACAATGTGTGGCTTCGACTCGCCGGGGTCTCCCTGGGAGTAGCGTTCTACCCACGTGTGCTCCTCCTGAGCGTTGTTGCCGGGAGTGGGCTTCAACAGAAGCTATGAAGCTATGACAGGACAAAGCGATGAATAAACAGAAGAGCAGGACATGATATGACGGCAAATTTTGGGGGAGCTTCGTTGGACAGAGCCCCTCTGCACGCCCTCTGTCCCCCTGCAGAAAAAGGCTGGTTCACCATGTCCAGGCGTGCACAGACGCGCGCACACACACACACACACACGCATACACACGTACATGCATGTGCACATGAGTATGTACCTCCGTGCCCATCTACCCAATTCAGATCCATTGCAAACTAAATCCTTGCCGGACTCGGCAGTTGCGCCAATCTCCTCGCCGTGATACAAGAAAAGGGTATCAAAATGCAGCACCAAAGCAAGTGCAAATCTTCTAGGCTCCGGGCTTTGTCAGTGAGCCATGTCTTATCGGCCTCCAAACGACAAGCTGCACCGAAATGAAGTAGCATCATTTGCAGTACTGTGGGTGCCTCGAATACCGGAGAGCCGGATTCATCCTGAGAGCCATCACGTGGTGTCAAGCCTGAGCACGGCGAGACCGGCTCAATGGCACTTGCGCCTGTGCCCTGTGTCATCTTCGCTCACCAAGAGGCAATGTGTAGACTCGCGGGAGTTCACTCCAGAGTCCCGAGTAGCAGTGGACAAGCATGGGCTCGATGGTGCCAGTAACTGGCTTTCGACCTGCCAACTCCAAATCTCTGCTCACAGCACACGCTGGGCAGATGCAGACGAGCTGACCGGCAAGCACGAAAGCATAGTCAAACTCTTTTAGCACTCGCCCTAGTGCAAACTTACACGTGCCTTCTTCTGGATGTTGTCCGTCATCGTGTGTGGCGACTTTTGCGGAGTCTTGCGGAGCTCATGAAGCTTGGTGAGCAATGTGTGTGTTCGATCCTGGGCTTCACGTTGCTAACCAATCCTACACACTGACCCTCTGGTGCGGCGAGGCTCCACATCTGCAATACCATCATCGAGCGCAGCCGGCAAAGTACATGAACCTCATGTGCCATGTGCAAGTGTCGGAGACTGCTTCTTGAGTGTGCGGATGCACACGCTGCGCAAGGAACTCCGATGACCTAGTGAGAAGACGACTTAGTGACTTAGTGTTAAGCACGATAACCCAACTACCCGATTTTCCGTCCACGTTCACTGCAGAAATTGACAAGACTTCCGCATCTATTCCGTGCTTCGTTGCCTTCCATAACTCGCTCCGCCACGCCAAGCGGAACCGCCAGCTGCTGGGCTGCTGGGCCGAAAGGCTGCCGATTTCCGACCCGACATGCGGACATGCTCCTGCTGAGGCGAGGGACTGTAACCAAAAGTAGACACTATAAATGCAAACGAAATCAGTTCCAGGCGGCTCTTCCTTAAAGAGAACCTGCTTGCAACAGCTGCTCAACCGCACTGTGCGGAATGAAACCAAGGACATCACCTGACTTTGCTTCTCTTCCTCCTGGAAAATCCATGTTTCTAATGCTCGCGGGGCCAGAACTGGGCATCTGTACCGCACACCTCTGCAATGTGGCCCGGGGAGATGTCTTCCACAGACTCCATACCTCAGTGCAATGCTTGAAACCTGGCATACCACCGTGTCTGTCGCCAATTGGAGTCAGCCTTGCAGGTCGAAGCATCACGATCTGGAGGAGGCTTCTCCAATCGTAGAGGCGTGGAAACTCATCGCTTGCACATGTTGCTCACAGCCTTGAGCACCGAGCCCCAGTGCTCGCTTTGCAGAGAAGAATGCATTGACCTGATAGAGCGGGACGGTGTTCTGCAATTCCGATGGGCATCAGCCGCAGATGGATGCCACGGCTTGCATGTACTGCAACTTTCGCTAAAGCTATGGTGATCTGGTCTTACTTGAGTGGCGGGGCCACGGGGGACGAAAGCTAGACGTCATCACACACAACCACATCAGCAACGGAAGGAAAACAGAGCTGACGAGGCGGGCTCCAAGCATTATCATTATCGCATCCAATACCCATCAGCAATGGAGGGGAAACAAAGCTGGCGAGGCAGGCTCCGAGCATCCTCACATGCAACCAGAGACGCATCAGCAACGCACGGGAAACTGAGTTGGCATAATCACCTCCAGCACGCCCAACCACATCAACAACTCGGCAGAGAGGGAGGGTATGATCCATATATCAATACATTTGGGGCCTGGCCGGCATGCAGGCCCCAACGCAGAAAGAAACGAAAGCCTCGATACGCTACCTTCCGTGACTTATGTCGCATCTGCAACCTGTGTCCTCTACTACTCAGGTGCCAGTGCTTGTTGCAATGCTGCCTAATCCAGAATCCAATGCATGGTGCAGCCCACCTTGCCCACAATCTGGCACACTGCC